TTTTATTTTTATCAATTACTTATAAATTTATTCTCTTTATTTAAATTCTTTATGTTCATTAAAAATTAAAAAAAAAAGACTGGATATTGCAATTTTTTATCCAAACTATTAGGTAAAAACCCTTTTTAAGCCCTTAAACTTATCCTAAGATAGCATTTAAGCCCATAAACTAATAATGAAGCAAATAAGCCTTCCAACTCTACTAATGATGCACATAAACCTTTTTCATTCATGGGTGGTCATGTTTTCAAGGTGATATTAAATAGAAAATACCGTTTGGCTCATTTGTGAGAAGGATTTATTTGTATCATTAGTGGAGATAAAGGGTTTATTTGCTTCGTTTTTAGTTTATGGGCTTAAACATTAATTTGGGATAAATTTGGGGGCCTAAGAAGCATTTTTGCCAAATTATTATGGTAAGCATTTGATCCATATATTATGGTAAGCATTTTTATGTACATATTTGATATGGATTATATTTGGCATTCAATTTAAAAAATTTTAAATATAACTTTTTAAACTTGATATTTACCCAAATATTTGAAGAGTTATACTTCGTAATTAATCCAATAAGTATCAAGTAACTTACAAGCATATATTTATGTACTTAGGTTAGAGAAAGAAAATGTTTAATATAAAATACTATTATTATGTGTGTTATGTATTTGATTTATGATTTATTATTTATATAAATTGTTATTGTCGGGTGTGTTTTAGTTGTCTTATAGACCTTATTTAACTTTTATTTTTATTTTTATTTTTGTTTTTTATATACTCACCCTCCAAAACACAACCTGTGGCATGATTGTTATGAGAGAGCTGAGGTAAAAGGAAGAGCTGAACGATGGGCTGGTCCAGCGAATCTAAGATGGGCTTTAAGTGGAACAAACGGACAATTGGGCAAGGCTAATTTATAAGGGATTTTTAATAAAAAAAAACTCACGTAATTAAAATGTTATACTAAAAAAGTGTTTGTTTTGATCTTTCATAAATAATTATTAGTTGTTATTTTTAATTAAATAACTTAAATATTTTAAATTATAAATAACAATAATTATAAATAGAAGATTTAAATGTAATAATAAAATTTTTTTAATGTTTTTAATATTTGAATAGAAGATTTATTATATATATATATATATTTAGGTTTTGACCACTTAATATCCGAAAGTTCATTGGATCATCAACTAATCTGGATTTGAGTCGGACAGATTCAACGGGCAGCAAAGCTTTTTTTCATAAGTTTTAATAGAATTGTATTTTTAGAACTTGAAATTAATACCTTTAGTTAAGTTGAAAGGATCCCATATTAACTCATCCACTCACTCGTGGGTATATATATTTATTTTAATTGTATAATAAAATGTAATTCCCTTTCCGTCACTTACTTTATCTCATTTATATGTCATATAATTTAAATTTAAAGTTTTTTATTTTTAATAAAAAATTATTATTCAATTATTTAAGTCATTGATTATAAATAAAAAAATTATTAAAAATATTTATATCA